AAGTACAATAAATTTGTTGAGAATAATAGCACAGAATTTGTTTATAATGAAAAAGTGGAAAGATTTATGAATAAGTATTTAATTATTTTGACAAAATTTGATGATTACGTGAACGGAATGTACGATAAAAAAAGACAAATTTGGACAATAATAGCGAGAGTCGTGTTATTAGTGGTGGGCCTGAGATATGCCGTCTCAGCGATAGTCAACACACCAGAGGTCAGAGCTTTTATGTCGGATTCAAATTATATGATTGGAAATCCGGTATTAATTTCAACAGTGATTGCTATCCATGTATTTACAAATCTATACATCCGTATTATTTTGGTGCATTTGGAGATTAATCATAAAATATATTTTGTTAACTTATTAACTGATTTTAAAACGAGATCACTTTGCCATCCGTTAAATAAACATCATTTCCGGCGACTATTGTTCACAACAAACGTATTGACGAAATACTATTTGAATCAAACATTTTGGTCGCTAATGATTGTCACGAATGGCTGTCTATTGTGGGCTTCAATCAGGGCTTATATGGACCCAAACTCCGGGTTTACAGCACTCGGTGTCGTGTTTTGGTTCATAGTTAACATTTTATGGACGGCTCAGCTCTATAGCATGCTTTGCCTGGTTATGATTATATGCTATTTCTGTACCGCATATATACGCTATGTATTCAATGAAATTAACCGTAATATTTGCTTATGTATTAAATTTGGTAACAATAGATCCCTATTTAGAGCTATACATAAACATTATACTGTGGCCCAAATGATTACCAAAATTAATATATTAACTAAATATTTATTGTTTGCCACCTATTATTTTGGAACCCCTGCTATAGAGATATTACTGTACCTAACATTTGCCAGAGACACCACATTAACCCTAAGAATTGCCGCAAGTTTCATATTTGTTATATCATTTAATTCACTTTTTATGCTTAACTATATGTGTAGTCGAGTCAGTTCTGTATCCCATAAATCCCTTCATATATTGTATGGATATATGAATCGCAAAACCATTTCAATCGGAGATCGACTAAAACTGTTGGCATTCATCGAGAGGTTGACTAAACACGATATCGGCTTTTATTGTCTCAATTTATTTCACATGAATTCATTTGAGTTTGTATTTTATGTTTACGCAGTGTTTAGTAATTATACTTTAATTATTACATTTGTAGAAAGATGGTCAGTTTAGATGTTATAATTTACAATATAAAATAATTATTAATTTACTAGCGACATTAGTCTTAATCGTAATATTGTATTAATCATAATAATAATTATTATTACACTTACACTGCTTTTACTCTGCACCTAAACATTAAGGTAACAATCCTGGCTAATTGTTAGTGACAAAACCCGAGATATTCAAATTGAATTTATTTTTATACCTTAATCTACCATTTAATCAAAATTAAATTAATCTCAGATAAATGTTACATGTAAAAATTGAGGGTTACAAATGGTTAGATTATGATAAAACCGGTTCTCTGTTTGTTATACGTGTGCTCTCAATACACAAACACAATAAACGCATTGAAAACACATGTTATTTCTTTTCCTTACTTCAGTTGTGCCTAACATTTATATTTGTGACTCATTTTAATTTTTAAATATAATTTGTAATTAAAATGTATTTACAATTAATGAATGTTTCGTTGATTGAAATGAAAAGTAAATTCAATGCAATGAAGAGTTTGTGTGAAATAATAGACAAAATTCAGTGTNAATACAAATAATAGTGTTTTGTGTGAAGCGATTGAATGCGAAAATAATGATTATTTTTCAATCAATCAAACAATTGATTGCAATTCATGTAAAATAAGTGATAAAATGCTAAACAATTGTCATATCATTACTAAATCTGATGATTATTTTCACTGTTTTTGGCCTAAATGTCAATTTAAGACAAAAACTAAACAATGTTTAACTTCTCATCAATTAATTCATTTAGAAATAAAACAATTTAAATGTGATTTTAATATGTGTAATAAAAGTTTTATACAAAATGTACATTTAATTCAACACAAAAATGGCGTTCATTTAAATGTAAGATTTATTTGTGATTTTAATAAATGTGGCAAAAGGTTTACATCAAAACAAAGTTTACTTAATCACAAAAATGGCGTTCATTTGAACAGCAATAAAAATTTTAAATGTTTTTGGCCTAAATGTCAATTTAAAACACTATCAAAGAGTGCCTTAAAAGTGCATCAATTAAAGCATTCAGAACTCAAGCAATTTAAATGTGATTTTAATAATTGTAATAAAACTTATAGAAGAGCATCCAATTTATTTCGACACAAAAATAGCATTCATTCAAATGTGAGATTTATGTGTGATTTCAATGAATGCCACAAAAGCTTTACAACAAAACACTATTTATTTCGACACAAAAGTTGTGTTCATTTGAAAGAAAGGAAATTCAAATGTAATGAAGAAAATTGTGGCAAAAAATTTAATACAAAATCAGATCTAATTCGACACAAACGCATTCATTCGGGAGAAAAACCATTTATTTGTAATTTTTCTAATTGTAACAAAGGTTTTAATTGTATAGCTAATTTAATTCGTCACAAATATATTCATAAAAAATAATTGTAAACTTATTAAATATAGTCATGATTTTAACTCAATATAATAAATGATTTAATTGTTAAAATATAATTATTTTACAAGTTTCTTTAATTTTAATAGTAATTATATAATTATTAAAGTAAGTAAATTTATGAAAATCCATGTCTTTTGCGTGCATTCAAATCACATGCAAATTGAAAGATATGCACCGATCGTATAATAGGGAGTGTTTTGAGACCACATTTATATTAACAGATAATTGTCAATAAAAATTCAGACTAATATTAAATCAATAGTATTTTTGGCATCAATTTTGGTGACTGTTTTAAACGCTATTCACAAAACGATCTTGCTGTCTATTAAACAGTCTAGAGTCTAGACAGTATAATGATGTTTATGAAACTTGGATTTTAGTACCGTGTAAACTTAAATTATGCAACCAATTTCACAATTTTATCTACATTATAAGGCAGGTCGTTAGGATATCAGTTCTACTAATATTTCATTATTGATTTATCATTAGTATAGACAGTAAAAAACGCGATCTAGAGCTTTCTTCACAGAAAAAACTTGACTTTAGATAAAGTAATGTTTGATTCATTGTTTTGAACACAACTTTAATATTTGTAACAATGAATTAAAATGAATTTTCATAAACCTATTCATTGATTATTATCTAAAGTCAAGTTTTTTCTGTGAAGAAAGCTTTAGATCGCGTTTTTTTACTGTCTATAATCATTAGTTTTCAAACAATAATTTCTATTAATAAGTCATAAAATATATAAAAAATACAAATAGTCTGGAATTAAATAAATGTAATATTATTTTTTCTTAATCTATAATCAATAACATATGAATGCAATGATTTATTAGTATAAAACTATTCATTAAATGCTATCATAATTTGAACACAAATATATTATGTATTCTTTAAATAAGATAAAAATAACATAATAATTTTTAACAAAATGAAAATGAATTTAGCAAAAACTTCAAATATAGTAAGAATTGTACAAAAGGTGGCAAAAATAAAACAAAACTTCGATTATAAATACAAAGCGGTTACTCTGATGATTATTTTCACTGTTTTGGCCTAAATGTCAATACAAAACCACAAGTAATGGTAGTTTAACTTTCCATCAATTAATTCATTCACAAATAAAACCATTTAAATGTGATTTTAATAATTGTAATAAAAGTTTTACACAAAAGGCACATTTAATTCAACATAAAAATATTGTTCATTTAAATGTAAGATTTATTTGTGATTTTAATAAATGTGGCAAAAAGTTTTCGTCAAAACAATATTTACTTCATCACAAAAATGGCGGTCATTTAGTTAATAATAAAAATAATTTGAATGACAATAAAAATTTAAAGTGTTTTTGGCCTAAATGTCAATTTGAAACACTAGTAAAGAGTGCCTTAAAAGTGCATCAATTAATACATTTAGAACTTATGAAATTTAAATGTGATTTTAATAATTGTAATAAAACTTATAGCAGAGCATCCAATTTAAATACTCATAAAAATAGGGTTCATTTAAATGTGAGATTTATGTGTAATTTCAATGAATGCCACAAAAGATTTAAATCAAAACATGAATTATTTCTACACAAAAGTTGTGTTCATTTGAAAGAAAAGAAATTCAAATGTAATGAAGAAAATTGTGGCAAAAGATTTGGCCAGAAATCAGATCTAATTCGACACAAACGCATACATTCAGGAGAAAAACCATTTGTTTGTGATTTCAATGATTGTAATAAAAGTTTTAATTGTAAAGCAAATTTAATTCGTCACAAATCTATTCATAAAAAATAATTGTAAACTTATTAAATAGTTATGATTTTAACTCAATATAATAAATGATTTAATTGCAACAATAAAATTATTTTAATTGTTTATTTAATTTTAATAATAATTATATCATTATAAAAGTTAGTATATTTATTGAAATCCATGTCTTTTGCGTGCATTTAAATCACATGCAAATTAAAAGATATGCACCGATCGTGAAATTGGGAGTGTTTTGAGACCACATTTATATTAACAGATAATTGTTACCGTATTAAAAATTCAGACTAATATTAAATCAATAGTATTTTTGGCATCAATTTTGGTGACTGTTTTAAACGCTATTCACAAAAACGATCTTGCTGCCTATTAAACAGTCTATTGATGTTTATAAAACTTGGATTTTAGTGACATGTAAACTTAAATTATGGAATTCTATCTAAATTAGAAGGTAGGTAAGCCGCTAAAATATCAGTTGTACTAATATTTCACTATTGATTTATCATTAGTTTTCAGAAAATAATTTCTATTAATAAGTCATAAAATATATAAGAAATACAAATAGTCTGGCGTTAAATAAATGTAATATTATTTTGTCGTAATCTATAATCAATAACATATAAATGCAGTGATTTATTAATAAAAAAAACTATTTATTAAACGCTATCATAATTACAACACAAAATATATTATGTATTATTAAAATAAAATAAAAATAACATAATAATTTTTAACAAAATGAAAATGAATTTAGCAAAAACTTCAAATATAGTAAGAATTGTACAAAAGGTGGCAAAAATAAAACAAAACTTCGATTATAAATACAAAGCGGTTACAAATATTGAAGACTTTATGCGACGAAACTATCTCTCGATATATCGCACGACTGATGAATACTTTGAGACCGGATTCCGGAGTAAACGTAGAATATTTTGGATATCAATCGCCAGAATATTCTGTGCGCTCACAGTTATTCGGTTTGCCATCAGCGCCGCTATCGATAACCCAACCCTATTGGCACAGGTATGCGATTTCACTTACTTATGGGGCTCCCGGCCTCTGATTTCGGCCACCATTTGCATACATGATTTAAGTATGTTATTATGTGGTTTGGTGACCAACTATCAGGAGCTGTCACATACACTACCCTTGTTTAATATTTTGTATCTTATTAAATACAATCGCATGGATTACCCCCTAAACCGGGCCAACGACCGCTTGTTTGGCCGTCGGGTCTATAGATTGAGCAGATTTTTTATGAAACAATCGTTTTACGCTCTCGTAGTCTATGTTATTATATGTTTTGGTAGCGCATCGCTAGTCGCCTATTACGATGGTAACCACGCGATGAGCATGATCAATTTAATCTCATTGAATGTAATCTTGATGGTAAACACACAGCAACATCACGGTATACTATCGTTCGGTGTAGTGCTCTTGTACATGTGCATACTCTACTTGCGATTAAAGTTTACCGAGATAAATGACAAAATTAAACACGCTTGCATCGAGCGCGATTATCGGAAAATCATGATGGCCATTGGCGAGCATAATACGTTAACTATAATCTGCCGCGACATGGACAAAATTTTTAATAAAATTCTATTTATAATGTATTATATATTTAGCTTTGGTTTTGAGTTAATGCTATACTCGACACATCACAAGCGGTCAAATATTTACGGCAGAATTGTTAACGGAGTGATATTTACGTGGGCCTCGTGTGTTACGCTATTATTTATTAGTATAGTCACCAGGGTTAGTCGCGAGGCACATAAGTCACGCTCGGTTTTGATGGCCTATTTAAGTGACAGACCCTCTCAGATGCCATTGAAATGTAGGCTTAAATTAATGGCATTCATTGAGAAGCTGTCCGGACCTGAGATCGGCTTTAATTGCTATAATATATTCCCAATGAATAGCTTTGAGTTGTATCAGTATTTGTCTGTTTTAATTTCTAATTATATATTGTTTATGACTTTGTTCTAGTTGTTAATTTTCTTGAGTATCTAACACAATTTAAATAATTATAAATTTGGAGTTTAAAATGTTGAATGGATATTTAAAATATGATTCTTGTACAAATAAAACAATAGCTTGTGTTAAGTAACAATATATTGATATAGCATAATTGTCTGTATATTGCATAACACATAATATTATATTTATGGACATTAAATAATATAAAATTTTATTTTAATAAAACCTATTACCCCATTTGAAATTTCATGTCATTATCAAATATAATTCATTTCTAAATAATTAAAATGTATAATTATTCTGTGAAGCATTAATTCCAGATGTTTCCCAAACATGATTGTTTTACTATCAATTCTCGACCGATTTTGGATGCTTTTAATCCCGAATAATCTCTGCTCTAGTTATATGTGAACACCCAAAAAGTCAAGGCTAGACAGTGGCTAGACTTGGATTCTGGTGACATTTAAACTTAAATTATGTAATCAATTTTACAATTCTATCTACATTGAAAGGTAGGTAGGCCGCTGGGATATCAGTTGTACTACTGATTTACTATTGATTTATCATTAGTTTTAATGCAATAATTTCTATTAATAAATCATAAATTATATAAAAAATACAAATAATCTACCATTAAATTAAATCAATGTTATTTTTTGTAATCTGTAATCAATAACATATAAATGCAGTGATTTATTAATAAAAACTATTTATTAAACGCTATCATAATTTAAACACAAAATATATTATTTATGTTATAAATAAAATAAAAAATAAAATAATAATTTTTAACAAAATTAAAATGAATTCAGCAAAAACTTCAAATATTGTAAGAATTGAACAAAATGTGGCAAAAATAAAACAAGAATCCGATTATAAATACAAAGCAATTGTAAATATTGAAGACTTTTTGCGACAAAACTATCTCTCGATATATCGCACGACTGATGAATACTTTGAGACCGGATTCCGGAGTAAACGCAGAATATTCTGGGTATCAATCGCCAGAATATTCTGTGCGCTCACAGTTATTCGGTTCGCCATCAGCACCGTTACCGACAGCCCAACCCTATTGTCACAGGTATGCGATTTTACATACTTATGGGGTTCCCCGCGCCTGATATCGGCCACCATTTGCATACACGATGTCAGTATATTATTATGTGGTTTGGTTGCCTACTACCAGGAGCTGTCACATACTCTACCCATGTTTAATATCATGTATCTCATTAAATATAATCGTATGAGTTGTCCCCTAAACCGAGAAAATGACCGCTTGTTTGGCCGCCGGGTCTATAGATTAAGCAAATTCTTTATGAAACAATCGTTTTACGCTCTGGTAGTCTATATTATTATATGTTTTGGTAGCGCATCGCTAATTGCCTATTATGATGGTAAATACGCGATCAGCATGTTCAATTTAATCGCATGGAATGTAATCATAATGGTAAACACACAGCAACATCATGGTATACTATCATTTGGTGCAGTGCTCTGGTACATGTCCATACTCTACTTGCGATTAAAGTTCACCGAGATAAACGACAAAATTAAACACGCTTGCATCGAGCGCGATTATCGGAAAATCATGATGGCCATTGGCGAGCATAATACGTTAACTATAATCTGCCGGGACATGGACAAATTTTTTAATAAAATTATATTTATAACATATTATATAATGAGCTTTGGTTTGGAGTTAATGCTATACTCGACACATCACAAGCGGTCAAATATTTACGGCAGTATTGTTACCGGGGTGATATTTACTTGGGCCTCGTGTGTTACCCTATTATTTACTGGTATAGTCACCAGGGTTAGTCGCGAGGCACGTAAATCACGCTCGGTTTTGATGGCCTATTTAAGTGACAGATTTTCTCCGATGCCATTTAAATGTAGGCTAAAAATAATGGCATTCATTGAGAAGCTGTCCGGACCTGAGATCGGCTTTTATTGCTATAATATATTCCCAATGAATAGCTATGAAATATACCAGTATTTGGTTGTTTTATGTTCTAATTATTTGTTGTTTGTAAGTTTGTTTTAAATTTAAATTGATATTTGTACATAATAATAAAACAATAATATTGCTGTGTTAATTTTAAATGATTTTTTTTTGTAATTTCTTGTATATCTATTTAATAAAATCCATTACTTATTATATAATATAAGTAGTTTTCAATCAATAATCTTTATTATTAATTTTACAATACATTTATTTGAGAAAATTGTTTATTATTAGATCAGCCCTTAAGAAAGCCGAAACTTTTCACGGATGTGTTCACTTATGTACAGTACTATGGTGAATATAAAATATCATATTTATGAACATTAATTTTATTTTAATAAAACCTATCATTTGATACGAAATCTTAAATTTTATGTCATTATCAAATATAATTCATTTCTAAATAATCAAAAAATATAATTATTATGTTACATGCTAATAAGTTGTAAGCATTAATTCCAGATTTTCCCCAAACTAGACTGTTTTACTCTCGAATCTCTTTAACGAATTTGGATGCTCTTAGTCCCGAATAAGCGTTGCTCTAGTTATATGTTTTTGGCTAAACAGTTGATGTTTATGACACTTGGATACTAGTGACATGCAAAATTAAATTATGGAACCAATTTCACAATTCTGTCTACATTAGAAGGTAGGTGGGCCGTTGGGATATCAGTTGTACTAATATTTCACTATTGACTTGTCATTAGTTATTAGTAATAACTTATTACGGAATAATTTCTATTATAAGATATGAAATATATAAGAAATACAAACAGTCTACTATTAAATACATTTAATGCTATTTTTCCTAATCTATAATCAATAACATATAAATGCAGTGATTTATTAATAAAAGACTATTCATTATACTCTAATGTTACCATAATTTAAGCACAAAATATATTATTTATGCTAGTAAATAAAATTAAAAAAATTAAATTATAATTTTTAACAAAATTAAAATGAATTCAGCGAAAACTTCAAATGTGGTAAGAATTGAACAAAATGTGGCAAAAATAAAACAAGAATCCGATTATAAATACAAAGCGATTACAAATATTGAAGACTTTTTGAGGCAAAACTATCTCTCGATATATCGCACGACTGAATACTTTGAGACCGGATTCCGTAGTAAACGCAGAATATTCTGGATATCAATCGCCAGAATATTCTGTGCGCTCACAGTTATTCGGTTCGCCATTAGCACAGTTACCGATAGCCCAACCCTATTGGCACAGGTATGTGATTTCACTTACTTATGGGGCTCACGGCCCCTGATTTCGGCCACCATTTGCATACACGACACATGTATGCTATTGAGCGGTTTAGTGGCCAACTATCACGAGCTGACAAACACTATACCATTGCTTAATATAATGTATCTCATTAAATACAATCGCATTGATTACCCCCTAAACCGGGCCAATGACCGCTTGTTTGGCCGACGGGTCTATATATTGAGCAGATTTTTTCTGAAGCAATCGTTTTACGCTCTGGTAGTCTATATCACTGTATGCTTTGTTAGCGCATTGCTCGTCTCTTATTACGATGGTAAATACCTGATTAGCATGACCAATTTAATATTCTGGAATGTAATCTTGATGGTAAACACGCAGCAACATCATAGTATATTATCGTTTGGGTTTGTGGCCTGGTACATGTGCACGCCTAACTTAAAATTGAAGTTTATTGAGGTAAATGACAAAATTACACGCGCTTGCACCGAGCGCAATCAGCAGCGAATCATCATGGCCATTAGGGAGCATAACACAGTAACCATTGTTTGCCGCGACATGGACAAATTATTTAATAAAACTATATTCATAACGTATTATATTTTAAGTTATTGCTTAGAATTAATGTTATACTCGACACATCACAGGCGGACAAATATTTACGGCAGTATTGTTAACGAGGTGATTTTTGCCTGGGCCTCGTGCGCTATAGCATTAATGAGTAGTATGAGCACCTTGGTCAGTTGTGAGGCACATCGACCACAAACTGTTTTGTTGGGCCATTTGAGTAAAGGGCGCTTTCATGTGTCATTGATATATAGGCTGAATATATTGGCATTCATTGAGAAGCTGTCCGGACCTGAGATCGGCTTTAATTGCTATAATATATTCCCATTGAATAGCTATGAGTTATACCAGTATTTGGTTGTTTTGTGCTCTAATTATTTGCTGGTTGTAAGTTTGTTTTAAGTTTAAATTGACATTCATTCGTAATAATATTCATAATAATTCATTCATTGTAATAAAACAATAACCTGTTAATATTGCTGTATTGATTTTAAATGATTTTTTGTAACTTATTGTATATTGTTGTATAAAATCTATTACTTATTATATAACATAAGTAATTTTCAATCAATAATTTCTATTATTAATCTTAAAATACATTTATTCGAAAATTGTTCATTATTAAATAAAGATAATGTTTATTTTGTACTTTAAAATCAATAAAATATATAATTTAATATTAATATTACATATTAATTTCTGCTAAACAACTACTAATTAAATGCTATCATAGTTTAATGCAAAATATCAAAATATCTTTATATATTATTGATATATACAGTAAATATATATTGTATGCGGTAAATAAAATAATTAAATAATATGACCAAGCACAATTTGTATGGTTTTCATTTTGCAAAATTCTAGTGACTAATCACAAATAACTACTTTATTATGCAAGATAACAAATGATGTGTTAGAATATAACAATTTTTATATTTATAATGTTGTGTCTAGTTGGGTAAATGTTGTATGCAATAAGTAGCTTTATATAAATTGATCTAATTATATATTGACAACATTATCATAATGTTATTTGCAAAACAATTTTCAATATCAGTACTAATTGTGTGTTTAATTGTGTGTTGTGTTTGCGATGGGAATAGTATTGATGTGAACACGAGTTCGGGTTCAGTGAGGGGTCAGACACTCCATGTCTTGAATCGCAAAATACATCAATTCTTGAATATACCCTACGCTGAGCCACCCTTAGGCCCACTCAGGTTCGCACCTCCCCTACCACTCAAAACACCCAAACAGGTATGCAATGAGATTAGTATTTAAATAAATTTATTAAATGTAATAATTATCGCAATTAAGAGTATAATAGACGGCACAAAACCCGGTAATTATTGCATTCAAAACATACCAAAGTTTGTGGTTTTGACGGGAAATGAAATATTAAGTGAAGACTGTTTGGTATTGAATATATGGACACCAAATGTGGACAATAGTAATGCTATTCAACAGAAAACGGGTCTCAAAGCAGTGATGTTTTGGATATATGGCGGAGCACTGAGTATGGGATCAATATTTCAAGACATTTACAACGCTTCAGTGTTGGCCACCAATGATGTGGTTGTGGTTACCGTTAACTATAGGGTCGGGCCGTTGGGGTTCCTCTACGGCGGCGATGAGACAGCGCCCGGAAATGCGGGCTTTTATGACCAGTTATTAGCACTCAAATGGGTATTTATTTAATGTTATTTTAAACAAACATTTTTAACGTTAACTCAATTAATGATAGGTTAGAGAAAACATACATCTATTCGGCGGAGATAGGGATCAGATAACCATTTTTGGTGGCAGTGCCGGGAGTTGGTCGGTGTCCGCACACATACTCTCCCCGCTATCCAAAGGCCTATACAAGAGGGCTATTATGCAAAGCGGGTCTGTTATGTACAACAGAGACCGTCCGGCGCTGAGCACCGTTGAGGGCCTTCAAAGGGCTAAACAATTGGCCCGACGTTTAAATTGCGACGAATATGACTACAAATGGTTGGACTGTTTGCGGGCTATAGACGACCCGAACCTGTTTATAGAGATACCCGATAACAAAAACATTATTATTTTCACACATCCGGTGTTTTGCACACAATTTCTACCCGTTTTACTTCAGAAAAGTCTTGAAAGAGTATCATATAATTTGGGCATGTTCATATTGTGTTTATTGTATAATCATATAATATTAACTGTAATTTTGTTAATTATAATCTAATATTCAAAACAGACATTGAAGTGATGGCCGGTGTTGTCAAAGACGAGGGCCCACTACTAACTCACGGCTTATTTCCAGAAATGCGGTCCGAAATGACGGAACAAATGTTTTATAAAGTGGTCCGCGATTTGAGCCGTGAATATCATAACATAGATGTGGAGGAAGTGTGCGATCATTACCTCAAAGGTGTCCACAAAACTAATTCATCGCAACTGAAGGCAGCGTTTAATGAATTATACGGCGATTTAGGGTTCACTTGTCCGACATATCACTTCGCAAAAAGATTGGCCACAAGTGGACAAAAAGTGCATTTTTATCGTTTTAATTATCAATCAAAGCAATTGTCTAATCGGACCGTTTGCGAGGAAGGGGTTGTCTGTCACGCCGCAGATATACCTTTCGTTTTCGGTCATCCCTTAAGAAAACCGACACTTTTTACGGAAACTGATTATGACTTCAGTATAGATGTGATGAAAATGTGGACCAATTTTACAAAGACTGGGTATTTGTTGACTGTTTTTGAATTAATATTGAAATATATTATGTATTAATTGATAGCAAAGCACATGACGTTTGGTCACAATTTTGGGACAAATCTGTGATTCGAGTGAAAGACTTGAATCCCAACGATATGTCACTTATTCTCGACAATCCATACGAGAGTACATGTGATGGCATTTGGGAACACTATTTCTAAAACAACTATTAATTTTATTACAAATTATTACAAACAATAACTAAAATAAAAGTTTTTGCAAAATAAACTTAACCATTGATTAAAATAATCTTGGCTAAAAAATTATTTAAATAAATTAGAATCAAAATCAACATTCAATGTACTATAAATACATTATTGCTTTAGCATGCAACTTATTAGTTACCAATTTAATGAGTGATTGCCATTAGATTAATATTGGCGGACAACCAGTCGCCGTCGGCCGACAAAACACTCCCGGTTATAAACCGAGCCTCGTTTGAGGCCAAATACAGCACAGACTGACCCATATTGTGGCCATCGGGTGCGCGACCGCCGCTTGACTTATCCTGTTTAGACACAACCTGTGGGCCGGCCTTACGGGTTAGCTCACTGTCAACTACCTGTCCCATACTTTCCACCGCACAAATTGTTATAAAACAATTAACATGTGTTAAAAATATTAATATAACAAATATTGGTTTACCAATAAATAAAATGTTATAAATTTAATACTTGATTGAATTGACACGAATGCCCTTTGATTGCAACTCTTTGGCTATTGATTTGGTGAACACATCCACCGATGATTTAGCCATACAATAGGGAGATATCTTTACGCCCTATATATAGATCAAAATGAATGAATGAATGAGAGAGAGAGAGAGAGAGAGAGAGAGA